ACCAGCTCTTACAGACTGTTAAAATAATTAAAGAGCGCGATAACGATTTTTTGAGATAAATTACCGTTTACTTACTACTTTATTATTATTATTATTATTATTGTTATTAATTTCGCCAGATAAATAAATAATGATAAGATTAAACTCTTAAAGCATTAGCATCCAAGGCAATCGACTTTTATTAAAAACTCTACCGCACTTGAGATTCGAAATCACGCCTTTGGCCATTCTGGCGGATTATTTACTATTTTAATTGTATGATTCCGTATAAAATAAATTAAATAAATATTTAAATATATAAAAGCATTTTTATTCCAAGTTTTTGATTACTCTTGAAAACCATTTGTTCCAATTTTTCAATATCAATATCTTAAATCTATTCATCATCTTAAATCAAACGTTCCCTTTTTCTGGGGTAATTCTAGAATAATCGCATTAGTCCTATGTCTGCTTTGTATATGTCCAATAATACACGAGTAACTTCTCAAACTTCACTTTTAAATGCTTTACACTTAACAATTGATATTTGTTTTCTTCGATGAGCGTTCGAACGTGGCCTTAGCGTCCGTGACGTCAGCCTGTTTTTTTAGCGCAGATCTTCGTTATTTCTTTGGCAAGTAATATTCTCTCGACCATGTGCATTCGCCACTTCTTCTTTACATTCACATAGATGGAACATCCATAAAATTAAAATCTTGACCTTCAACAATAAGTGAAAATTTTAGAAAATTTCCTTCCACTTAAGCTGAAGACTTTGTAAATTTTTCGAATAAATTTAAAATTTATTTCGTCGACCTTTTCGTAAGTAAGTTATAATTTTATAATTTTTAAATCTTTGGCGGTAGAATAAGTAAAGAATTTTCATACAACACACACACAGCTCGCACAATAAACACAATCAGTCAAATAGCATGTAAGCAAAGAGTTGAGTGTATTCGTTATATACGCATGTATATTTTAATCTTCACGATCAATGAGATGTCAGAGATCTTGTTCTTCCATTTAAAACGCGCCCATTTGTCTGTTTTGTTATAGCGCGGAGTTGTTATTTTTAAAAGTGATAAATGTTTTCCATCTCAAGCTGTGTTGTAATGCTTACGCGCATGCATATATTCCATTACAACTCATTGCATTTCATTTAAAATACTTTAAGCTTTTCTTCCTTTTGATAAAGACCGCAAAGAGTTAAAAGCAAACAGAAAATGACAAAATAAAAATATAAAAGAAACAGAAAGCATTTAGGAAAACTATATATACGCGAACATCGAACGCATCATGTGAAATATGTGATATTTATACCACGGACATACCACGGAGGCCTATTGGAACAATGTGTTTTCATCACATAAGACTTTCTATATTAAGTACTTTAGCTTGAGTGCCAATGGCTATGGCTCATAGATTTTTGCTATGGCGCATAGCTTTCGATATATATTCCATATGTTTAACTATAGTAAGGCAAACAGAAGGTCTTCTTTCAAAATTTTCCTATGCTTAATTTAAGAGTACATTCTTCAATGGTATAAAAGATACTACATATGAAATTTGTATTTGGGTCAAAGTTTATTTTAACAATAATCTAATAACCAGAAAAATATTCGCAACAATTTAAACGTTCATAAAGACAATGGTCCAGTGGATATGTCAACATACAAGAATTAATCTAGAGAATATTAACAATTACATACATACAACTTAAAGCATTGAATGCTTTTCAAAACTAACTTAAGCGACGCTATTAGACTAAAAAGGAATAAAAATAATATGATAGCTCGCAGTGGGAAACATATTATAAACGAATAACCAGATAACCAGATGAGTAGCCATTGCTCTTATGATCACATGTACTGTGGCGATTGTATAAATATTCTCAACAAAGTAATGTTTTGCAAAAGTCATTCCATTTCTCGATGGCCAAAGTTCATTCTTGAAGAAATTTGGCGAAAAAATAATTGTTGCTCTATACGGGGACTTATTGATCAACAGTATATACACATATATGTATATTATATACAGACAATGAGAGATTGTCGATTTTAAACAAATATACATGTCGCATATACATATACATGTACAATACAATGAAATAGATATATAAGCATATATATATATATATATATATATATATATATTATCTAATAATATATAATCGAAGTATCTCTAATGTATCAGTCCGGTAATTGATTAGAAAAAGGCAAGAAAAAAAAAAAGTAATGTTGTTAATCAACTGAACTCCCCGACGGGGAATTGAACCCCGGTCTCCCGCGTGACAGGCGGGGATACTAACCACTATACTATCGAGGATATATCGATTCAGTTACCAATTAATGCTTTTAAGCGAATATTAGCGAAGAGAAAATATTTATATCATTTGAAAGAATTCTTTTAAAAGCAACAAACACTTGGAAATTACGAATTTTTTTTTTTTTTTTTTTATTATAATTTTTCCCCTTTTGTCTTACAGAAGAGATTGTGCATTTTTTTTTTACTGCTTTTAAAATTAGTTCTAAATAAAAATGTTTATTAAAATTATTGGAAAAAATTGTCATATCACGTACATAAATATCGCATAAAACATATACTCGCACATGTGCAATGATGCTTCAGACAAATGCTATGGAATGAAAAAATCATAAAGGCATAGCACTTGAAATGAAAAATCCCAATGATTTGACGTCATGTCGTCTGACTATGCTATACACGAAAAAAAAAAGAAGTATGCCTTCTTTTGGGAAAGAAATCTAAACTAATTCCATAAAGTAAATTTAATTGCTAATAAGTGTACAACAACAACGTAAACTAAACAATCATAAAGGAGCATACACATGCACATATATCTCTTAAGCACACCAAGTCATCACTCACTGCGGCAAACAGACTATTGTAAAAATTTAGAGAAAATTTTCTCTTTATTCATTGCTTTTTTGTAAATTTTTTTTTTATTATTTATTTATTTACTTTTTTGTTTTGTTTTGTTTTTGTTTTTTTTTTGTTTTATTTTTTTTTGTTTTAAATAACAAGGCATAGAAAAAGGGGAGCAATTATATTAAATAGCAATGTCGCAGACATGAGACAATCAAATGTAGCAAAAGAACAATTACAACTATTTGTACAATGTTGTCATATGTTGTTGGCAGTTATCGCATAAGTACGTCACATCACTTTGAGGTTCAATGAATTTTAATTGGATTTTTATTTGAATTTTCGCAGGCACGAAAATTATATATAATAGCAGTGTGCGTGCTAATATAAGTTGATGTCTACTAATTTGGCAAAGGATGTACATAAATTTGGCTTAATCTCATCATTAAACTGAATATCTGATTATAAAGCATTACATACGTACGCTATTAGCATAAAAAATTATCATAAAAATAAATTAAACCTTTTTTTATTTTTTTACTTATTCTTTATCGTCATAGGCTGACGTTGTCATTTTAATTTCTTGTACATTAATAAGTCTTCAAATACAAATACAAGCATGTCTTTGAATGTATCTACTAGTCACATGTTTATAATCTTGTGCAGGCATTCGTTATTTTAAAGTCCTTATGTATATTTATGCACTTTAGTTATTTATATAAACACATACATCTAGTCCTTATTTTACTTGATAGATATATACTTTAAAGTAATCACTTGAATTGCTATCTTGCAAGACAAAGTTCAAAATTCATAGAACATAGAAAGATACATATTTTCATCTAATTCAATAGTCGTTCTTAAGACGACTTAAGAGTGCATTCACTGCAATCGTGTGAAATGAGACATCAAAATCTGATACTTAAAGATTTTATATGTTTTCACACGAAGATCGTATATTGTACACCAACAATTTTTTGAAGATGGATGAAAAGGCTTTAAAAGGTTAACATTCGAAAGTGCTACCAAGTAAACATTCAAGTTTTATAATAAAAAATAAATTTTTAAAAAATATTAAAAAATGGCAAAACAGCCGGGTGGCCGAACCCGAAGTCGCAGCCGAAGCCATTGTGGTGCAGCATGGTTGATTTAGGCACTCTACATGTCCGCTCAACTTTGCTTGAAAATGCGTTTAGATGAACATAAACATTTTAAAAGAGATCTCTTTGCGGATTTCAAAAGTTCGAAATAGATTGACAAGACATTGGACCTTAGCAATGTAGTTTGTTTTTTGTGATATATCTATGTTTTTCGTAAAAAATCGGCAAGAATCCGAAGAGTTTCAAAGAAGAAGTTTTTTAAGATAATAAACTTTTCTGCTCATGTACTAGAAAGTGCAAAGCATCTATTAACAGCAGATTTACAACACTCGTCAAGGGCTTGAAAGGTTTTTAGCTTTCAAAATTCATCGTAGGGAAGTCGATATCTTTGGATATTATATAATTATTTTAAATTATAAAATCCAGCAAGTATATATATATATGTCTATCCTTTTTTCTGGTATATGCCCGCTTTTGCCATTTGGATGCAAACGTGACATATATATTTCTGCGAAAACCCATCAACATGAAGGGTATCCTTAATCCTTCATAGCTAGAATATCAAAATCCATTACAACATTCTTAAGTGGACTGAAGTTGGTTCTAAATTGATATAAATAAAACTAAGACTTCTTTTCTTTATTACTTCTGGAAAGGTGGATTTTCTTATTGTTCACTTAACTTTATTGTCAATTTCATTGAGCAGTTGTTCAACTAATGTTTGTTACACATGCTTGTAAAGTAGAGAAATAACTCTTCGGTTTTAAGGTGAAATGTTTTCATGCAATATTCTTTTTACAACATTTGCACAACAACTCTTCATTCAAAAATAACGTAAATTAAGTGTCGTGCATATATATATATATATATATATATATATATATATATATTGCATTTTTGTATGTACGTATATATTTATTTTAATAGTTTTACTTATGTTTATTTTACTGCAAGCAATAGAAAAAATTATATTGTAATTAAATTTTTATAATTTCTCACTGATTGATGTCACTTTTTTTTATGTTTCTTTCTTTACAGAATTCATATGCAGGTACGTATTATTGTAAAAATTAAAAAAGATTCTATAAGCAAAGTCATTTACGAGGGAATATATGCATTATATGCATTAATAACTATGTAAACGGGAAAGCATATCAGCAATAGACAGAAGTACTTGTTTCAAGCTCATTTACAAAACTTACAGATTTGAACAATCGAGGCAACATTTTAAGGGAAAAGAAGTGACCTTGACGATGCGTTGAATTAATTATCTGCAACTTTTCATATATTTTGAAAAAGTTATTCTGAATCGATCAATGAATACAAAAGGAGCTAGAAATACATTTGACCTATAGATGGATATATAGACAAACAGGCTTAAATTGATTGACAAAATAAATGTGAATCGATTGGTATAAATAAAAAAAGGTGAACCTATCTTAAGACGTTTCTTTACCCAAAAAGAAAAACAAAACGTTTCCAACATCCGCAAGCAACCTAGAGAGACGGCGCAAAGTAAAAATCTTCCCTCTTTTTCACCACAAATGTCCTGTAATTTTGATAGTGGATTACAAGCTAGGTAGGATAAGTGAATATTTATTTAAGAGGATATCGACTAACAACAGATTTTGGGAAATCTCGTTTGAAACGGATCTTTTCAACCGGAATCTGGTGCGGTTGGCACTGTCAACTTTCAAGGAATTCAGAATCAGTTAAGTCCTGTATTGTGCAAGGGTGACGACTTTGAAAATTTCCGGTTTGGAGGTCGAAAATACAGGGACCGTAAAGCTTGACAGCATCATTAGCGGCCCTGGGTTATTCTTAGAATCTTCCTTTTCTTTCTTCGTTCAAGTCTTTATGATTTTTTTTTTTTTTAAGACAATAATGGCGAATATAACCGATGACATCCACCCGAGTGGCCGCAGGCGAGGAATCTCGACTAGCAACTCAATCGACATGGTTTCGAATCTCAAGTGCAGTAGAGTTTTTAATAAAAGCCGATAGCCTTAGATGCTAGTGCTTTAAGGGATTAGTCTTAGAATTTATTTCTCTGGCGAAATTAATAATAATAATAATAATAACGCATGACACCGAAGATCAGGTGTATTGTCATTTGTCAATTTATCTGTTTTCATTTTGTTACATATTTTGCAGTGTCAAAAAAGAGAAGCTTCAGAAAACCTATCCGTGTTTTCGTCTGTCTGCCCTTGTAATGTCCATGTTCCATCGATGCCATTACTTGCAATAGCAACACGAAAGAATTCAGTTTATTCGACATGTATTTCTAACCGTACGGATGACTGACGTATATAGGATACGAAAACTATTTTGGAATACTTTCTGTCCATTATTCATTATTTATTAATGATGATTTTAAATAATTAACCAACATTTATTTTAAATTATTTGTTTTTTTTTCTTTTTTTGTTTATATTTTTTTTTTTTTAGATGCTTATGATACCTCACCGTCCCCTACTGGTTCTAGTTTGCATTGCCTTAATTTGATTGTACAAAATATTAATAAAAATTCAACTTTAATAAATAGTTGCAATGGTAGCATTAGTACAAATCACACGCGCGCACATTCGTACTCAACGAGCAATAATGCGACAAGTAGTAGCAGCAGCAGTAGCAACAATTTGGCATTGAAAAATGTTACAAGCGCTCATGTAAAATCTGCTGCAGTAGAACTTGCGACATCCTCCTCTCATACATCATTGAATGCAACATTTAAACAAAAATGTACAACAACGTGAACAAGGCGATGTGTGTGGCGTAATGGGTCCGCGTAAAAAAATCTACCATGAACTAAGGATTAATCTGTCATACATATAAAAAAAAGCGTATGAAAGCGTATTTAAGCTGCATATCTAGACATTGTAAATTTACACATTACAAGCTGATTAATATTAATTTATCTCATAATATGCCTAAATGAAAAGGATACACGTTATACTCTATATATACGTATACGTATATAAATGAAAATTTTACAAAGCAGGGTTAAAACAACTTCTTTGAAGAATTTAATATGAAAAATTGTTTATTCTTCTTCTTCTTATTTAATTAATTAATTAATTAATATGTAAATAAGATAATAATATATGCAATTTATGGTACATATGTGTATGTGATTATGTTTATATATTCTGTATATATATATATATATGCGAGTAAAAAATTAAATAAAAAAACAATAACAGTACAATATAAAAGAATTATATTTTGTTTCATTTCTATATTCTTACATAATTAAGAAGAAGAGAATGATGAAATGCAAATTATTTTTTTTCATTTTTTCTAGTTACTCAAAATAAGTTACTCTTCGTGAAGAAAAGAAGTTATTTTTCATTAAATCGAGGCACAGTTACGAGAAGTGAATTCAATGAGACCCCAATAGCCGACGAGAACTTGGCGAATTAATATCTCATACTGCTTAAGTATATGTTTTCATATCCTCCATTACATTGTGGTACAGGGATATATTAAATTTGTATGGATGTACATAATACCCAGAAGCACTTCATATACTTCCACCCATTTAGAATCACTTCAGAATTAATTTTTGAATCGATTTAAGACTGTCTGCTTGTCTCTCCGCCCTGCTTTTTTGTGTTTTCAACATACAAGCCTAAGGATGGATTTTATTGAAAATAGGTTTCTGTACTATTAGTTAATTTTTTCAAGCTTCACTTAAAACTCTCCTACATGTAGACGAGTAGAGTTCCTTGTAAGTATCGTAACATATCAGAATTAATTTTTGAATCGATTTAAGACTATCTGCTCGTCTGTCCGTTCTGTTGTTTTTGTGTTTTCAACCTACAGGCCCAAGGACGGACGTTATTAAAAATAAGTCTCTGTGCTATTAGTTAATTTTTCCAAGCTCCACTTCAGACTTTTCTGCATGTATACGTATAAGGCAGCAGCATTTTAATAATTGAAGAGTTAGTCAGATACACCTCTAAGACAATCTTACGATATAAGTAAGTAATTTTTCGGGCTCTAGGTGATCCAATGAGGAACTCAGGTTAGTCAAAATTACCTAAACAGTGAGATGTCTAACGCACATTTTTAATGGATCCAAAGAAGGAAACTCACCAACTATCTCAACACTACAAGATTGATATAAAAATGATAATTTTTTACTCACTAACATAATCCGTACTTGTAGAAGTTTACTATTACGCGTATCTCCATCTGTCCCGTTTTCATAAGTGTAAAAAAGATACGAATTTCAAAGCACTTGAAATTAATGCTTAGCGCATGACATAACTAAAAATCTTTAAAGAACATTTAATAAAGATATCATATAGTGCCCCATTTTAACACTTTGAAAAACATACGTGACACTTAAGTGACTATATCCGGAAGGCGTCAATCACTTCAAATGTTTTTTTTTTTGTTTTTAAATATAGCAACACTGACAACTTACATTAGCTGAATGTAACGTTATTTGAAAAGTAATTTCAACTGAGAATTTGATATTTGATCGATATTTTATGCACGAAATATCTGCCGATCTTGACGATCGGGGAACATAAGCGACAATCCTAATAGCAATGGCAATATTTTTCTTTGAGAAAGGTGCAGAAAAATTTGATAACAACACTCAAGTAAAGTTATTTTTTTCATTTATTAATACCACCCACCCTAGCGTGTAATCTTCAACTTGCGTAGATGCGTTTTGACAAGCTGTCATCATTTGATGCGGTATCCTTAAGTAAAGAGAAGGGGAAAGCGAACAAATTAGCGTGACGCATTTTGTCAGCTGTATGTTAACACATTGTTGCATATGTGTGAGAACACATCAAACACAACGTTATTCTCTTCCAGCCGCCGTGGATTGAAATTGCAAACATTTAATTACACAAAACTTGAGAAGTCTCAAGATCGCTGCATTTAACAGCAAATGTGCAGTTTTGCGGAACGATAATACTAAACTGTTACGAGTGAAGGGTTACCTGATTAAAATGATACAAATTGAAATTTTTAGAAGCTATGGATTAATAAACAGAATGGATAAGTGAATTCATTTTCAATAAATCTTTTTCTATGGTTACATGACTTAAGAAATGCCTTTAAATCGCACTATCGGAGACAATTAAGTCTAGCAATTTGCCTTAAAAAGTACGCCATATAAATTGACTCTTCTGTAAAATCCCATTAACCCCTTACTCTTGTGCAATCACATTTATATACTGATACGAATCATTTCAACAGAATTCTCGTTGCTGAATATTGTGAGCCGATCTGTACAAAAACTTGTAAAGTTTACAAAAATCCCTTAACTTTAACCATTAAACTGAAGTAAAGCAAAAAGTTGCAAGAAATCAGAAAAATTTATTTCACACTACAACCAATCTTTAAAAATAAGCATTCTGCAAGGTTCGTTACGAATTGAATAAAAACACTTTAAGAAAGTCAATGTTACGAGTAAGTTCTTATCCAAAAACGAAATAGGAGCAATTTACACTGCAACCTTATTCAGAACATGAATTTATTAAGAGCTGTAAGTCCTTCTCTTGCCTCTCGGATCCATTCAAGGTTGCTAAAAATCAATTATCGTACAGTTCCGCTTTACCCTGAAACACTACTTTACACTGAAACACATAGATCTTTACTGTGTTAAAACAGGGAGAAATTTTGATTTCTATTCTTTTTAAAGCATTTTTCTCTACTTACTTAAGATGCTTTCTGCGACGTTGCGATCTTTTATTTTTCTCATCTGTTTTTGGAAGCCGTTGCCCTTTCGGTATTGTTTTGAAAGCTTTCAGGGAGCTAAATCAGCAGAAAATAATGGCGTTAGTGAAACGGTATTAAGGAATTTTGGGTCAGATTTTGCAATCGCTCGCCTAGCATTATTATGAGAAGAAAGTTTTGATAAGTTAACAAAATCTACGTTATAGCGGCGTAAGGTGTTTAAGAAGGAACATTGTTCGACTACAAATGTTCAACACAAATGTGTTCACAAGTTTTGCTGTATAGACGTGTAGGTGTTTTAGATGTGTTCTTTGAAAAGTTTGGATCATCCTTCAAATTTCTTCTTCTTCTTCTTCTTCATTTTGCGAATGGGAGAATGGATGGACATGCTTAGGTACTTCTGAATTCGAAGCTGGCTAAGAATTTATATGTTTTAGAGGGTTTTCGAATCTTGCTTCTGTGCATTATAAAAGTGTTGAAAAAGATGAAATAATGATGCACTATAGCTTCTGAATAGGAAGAACGTGTAAAGACGATTGAGGAAACATTGCTAATTAAAAGAAAAATAGGCGAAGCGAGTCTAAGAAAACCAAAAGCAGTTTAAATTACTGCACAAACAGCCCTAGATCCGTTAAAAAAAAAAACAATTTAAAGGAATCAAAATCATTTAGTTTGTCGCGATTGGATGGAGCGACCTCAGTGCTACCAACACAGCCAAAAAGAATAACTTTGTTAAAGGATGAAAAAAGTGTGGACTTGCCCTTGATTTTCGACCAAATCACGTATAGCTAAGAAACTTATTCTGAAGATTGAGTTTTTAGAAAACCACAGAGAGAGGCAGAGAGAGAGAGAGAGAGAGAGAAAGAGAAAGAGAGAGAGAGAGAGAGAATGGGATATTGAGTGACTTGAGATTTTCATTTATTCATTAATAACTTTACTTGGCTGCATGACTTTAAAATATTAATTCTTCTTATCTCTCTTGATCGCTCAGGTATTAGTAATGCATATAAATACATGCAACTGACACATCCCCAACAAAATACCGGAAAAAATTTTCCCTTTTTATAAAATACAATTGAAGAAATGCTCTGAAAGCATAGTAGCATTAGTAACACCTTTGTATAAAATTTGTATAAAATTATTTTTCCAAGCATCCAAGATATAGTTCGCAATATATCATAATTTATCCATCCATCCGTGTGCATAACCGAATATATGTGTGTATACACATATTTGTATATTCCGACGGGAAATTTATATAAAAATTTAAATTTTGCGTAACATTTAAACGTCACATTTAATGTTGTAGATGCTGTAAAGCAAAACACGACGAAAAACGTTCACTGACTGAGCGCATTAACGTAAACAATTTTTTTTTCATGTGTTTACAATAAAATGTCACTAAACCGTTACATTTCGGGAATTTTACATTTTAAAGGACCGATCAGATAGGCACATGAAAATACCGTGTATTGGCTTTTTTTTTTTCTTTTTTTTTTTTTTTTTTTTTTGTATCATCGTCATTATTATTATTATTTTTGTCTCATACAATGCAAGGTTTAACTTAAGTGACAACTTTTACTCAAGTATAACGAAATGTTTTTCTTGAAAACTATAGAAATTTACAATATATGTATGTATGTATATGCCTACATAAGCGTAGATATTTATGAATCGTTATAATTGTATACATAAATAAGCGTTTTAATAATGCATACATTTTGTTATTTTTTTTTTTTTTCACAATTTTTTCATAATTTAATCTAATAATTTTTGAAATTTTTATTATTTCCAAGTTTTCTATTTTGATACGGTTAAGCTAGATCAAGATAATACGAAAATAACAGAAAGACATGAAAAAATTTCATTTTCGTATCGTATTCGATCTATAAGGTATAGTTGTACATACATACATATGTTTGTATATATGTCGCCATCGCAAAGCAAATCAAAGACAAATGCCACAGAGGGGAAACAATGAACCGGAAGCAACAAAAAATATACTACCTAACTATATCACTGGAAATTCCGATATGAAACGAAAGGTGGATGCAATTGATACTTACTTCTTTGGTTTCGTTCGACCTGATTCGTTTTCATAACTTGTTTTGAAATATTGAGCAAAAAGTGATTACATAACCTCAAAGTTTACGGAAATAAATAACCAATTGATTCCATAAGATTCAGAAAATTAAAAAAAAAGGAGAATCAACAAAAACGAAAACCTTATTCCCTTAATCCTTTCACTTAAGCAAAATAAATATAAAAATAAATAAAAAATTTCAAATCTTTTTGGAAAAGCGAATAAAGCGAATGGAGAGTTTTTTCAACATAAATCTTATATTCTGCCTGCAAAATGAAAAAAGCAGTGGATCGCAATGGCCAGTACTTTTTATAATTGGTTTATTTTTAAGTAAATACCCCTTCAATATAACCACATGTCACTTCGTTTCTTATTCCGTAGGCATGCGTTTCAGAGACATCTTAATTTTCTAATCTTAATTTTCTTAAAGTTCGGACAATCCGCCTAAAAACCCACCTAGACTAGACGGAACCTGTAACTCCCAACCTTCAATAGGTATTGATAAAAATATTTCCTAAAGCGTAAGGCAATAGACGAGTGAAAGAACAGTCCAGTGATGATCCAAGGGACATGTAATTTTCCTAATGTAATTAGTTTAAAGCTCTGTCTGCTTATTTCCTATTAAATTTTTCTTCTATTTTCCTTCATTCGCATCACTTATTATCCGTTTCGAAGACATCTCAGATTTGTAAACGCTATAAGGATTAAAAAAAATTGGCATTATTCGCCTGAGTAGCCGAAGGCGAGGAATCTCGACTAGCAATTAAGTCAATGGTCGTGGGTTCGAATCTCAAGTGCGGTAGAGTTTTTAATAAAAGCCGATAGCCTTGGATGTTAGTGCTTTTAAGAGTTTAGTCTTAGAATTTATTTCTCTGGCGAAATTAATAATAATAATAATACTAATAAAAATTGGCATAAATTGACTTAAAATGTCAGCTACTACCGGTAACTCGCTATCTATAATAGATATTCGCAAAAATATATCCAAGTAGAAAACCTATGAGAGAATGGTCGCGATGGACCTATGGACATGTAATCCCCCTGATGTATTAGGTTAAAACTCTCTGTCTGCTTGTTTCCTGATGGATTTAAATTTTGCTTCTATCTTTTCTTTTATTCGCATTACTCACGAGATTATTTGTACTTTATATTTTTCCCGATATTTTATTACATAAAACATTTATTAAATTATTAATGATATTTTTTTTTTTGTTTTTTTGTTTTTTTTTTTTTTTTGTAGAAATATGATCGTCGGTGTCAGCATAAAGCAGCTTCGCGTTGAGTATTTAAAATCACTACACATACAAAATGGTATGTATTGAATGGGCGGGTACATTAATAACAAATGAACCGCGTTCACTATCATGAACACAAATATCCTGAGGGATTGAAGCGCTATTAAGAAAAGAAAAAAAATAGGAAGAAGAAATCAACAAAAACAAACAAAGACAAGATATATGTTTTAGTTATCGTAAGCACTTAACAACAATTGAAATGTTTTAAGAGAAAATAGTATTAAATTTTAACGCAGAACATCTAAATGCCTGCGCATCTAAATGCAATTACAAAATGAAAATATTTCAATGGTGGCTGGTGGCTGGTGGCGGCGGCACACACTTAAGGTATAGTAGCAGGCGTTAATGAGTTTTTTTTTTTTTTTTTTTTTCATAATATTGTCATAAAAGTACATTTAAAAATCTGAAAATTTATAGACCAACATTAATGCAAAGTACGCGTGCCACTTAAACCATAATAATAACAACATATATATGTTTACGGTATCGTCACCCTCTACAAACTAAATAAAGCGTATGATATGTACAAACAATTTCTTTATTCCAATTTACGCACCTATTGAATAATATTAAAATTATTTTGTCATCCGGTCTTTTAAAAGCCACCGCATCAATGCTGATACGATAAACGGAAATTTGAGTTGCAATACGCATTGATTGTGATGGTAAAAATTTCGATAAATGTCCCAAAATATAGAAAATCGGTTGTTTATAAAATTCTTGAAAATCTATAAAATTCAAAATAGAAAAGAGATTTAATAAAAAATTGCATTCCTACTCTTAATACAGAGAGAGAATTCAATACAAACTTTGAGTATTCACTATAATCGGGGCATCCACATAATTTCGCACATAATTTGGACCACCTTGGTCATCGAGTAGTAAGTTCCAATCTAGCCAACCATTGAAATTATGATGAAAATCTTGTAATAAAGCTTTAGCATATTGCTCAGCTCTTGACCAAGAACCCAATTCTGGGCCATGCGTTTGCCAAGGCTTATCGCCGACGCACGCCTCTGTATTAAATAACAATCTATTGGGTATGAATTTTAAAGTTAAATCAATTAATTCCGGACCGAAGACATTATCCCAGTACCAATGTACCGCCAAACCATCAAGATAATCCAAACACGTAAAACGTGTAGAATTCATCTAAAAATTAATAGATTTAATTTAAGATTAGATTAATAAAACCGAAAGATATTATATTCAACTTGAAAGGAATAGTTTAATATCTACTATCAGCTTGGGGGATATTATACGATTGCAGTATGGAGCAAAAATGTCTATCTTCGTCGTAGTAATGTATGTTGTATGTATATAGAATATATTTGAAATCATATTTTCATGCGATTTGGCGGGCACGTTTTCGAGACGATTGGCTTAAACGGCAGTCTTCCCAAGAACCGAATTATAATCTCTAGAATTTTGAGATTAAGAGAAAAAGTAGGAAATTATGAATTTTTTTAGAAACTTCGAGCCAACCCGAAGATAAAGTTTACACGTCTGGCGAAAAATCATGATTTCAGTGGACAGGTAGACGATGGAAAGATATTTTCAAATCAATTTTGTTAGAGATCAATTTATGAAATTTTCTGATATGTCAAAAGTAGTTAAGTGAAATTAAAAGAAGAAAATACCGTTATTTACACCAATTAAGCATAGAGCTCCACATTCGACAATATTTCCGCATTGGAAGTTTCGAAAACTTTGATAACTATATATAGTAAATTATAGGCCCATTGCTACATACTATTTATTATAATTTATAGATAGCAACATTTTAAATTTTGCCGATATTGAGGCGTCATGGCTTTTTTGAAACTTGCTCAAAGACTCTATTCCTTGAAGAAATTATTTTAACAAAAGATTTATAATACTAAACAGTCGGGAAAAAAACCAAATCGATTACAGCTCTGTATATATATATACATTGTTGCTTTTCTAAAATCTTTTTCTCACTATCGTCAAATAAGTAAGCAAAACGTGTCTTACAATTTTTGCAGTAGTGACACTATTATCCAAAGGAACAAAAAAAAAAAAAAAAAAAAAAAAAAATTGAGATAAAATATATATATGCTCACCTCTCGAAACCAGGCCGGGAAAGTGTAGCGTTGATCGTCATTGCCAAAAATTAAAACATTTTTAAATGGCGAATTTCTAATGGTTGGGCCAAGATACTCACTTAAATAAATTGCCTATGTGTTAGCGTTGAACGGAGAGTCATTTATTAAAAAAAAATTTTCAAGAAAAACATGAATGCAAATACCACAAAAACAAAAAAAACAAAAAAAAACAAGGAAAAGAAAAAAGAAAAAGTAAATAAATAAAGATTAACAAACAAGAAAAACAAATAATAAAAGATATAAACGCATATATAGCGAAAATAAAACACTACCTGATTTCTTGGTGTCCAGCCCAAACTCATGAAATGCACGAAAAACCAACCAATGACTCCGTTTAGTGGCTCATTGCCAGTGGATATGGCCCAAATCGGCATATTTTTAGCATTCATTAATTCAAGAAATCTTTACGCACACATTCATATATAAATATATGTAGATATATAAGAGTTTATAGTTAACCAATTCATTTTCATTATGCACATAAATAATATCTTATAAATACATTTTCTACTCGAACATAAGCCAGCAGCATCATGTCAGTCAGTGGTAACGCACCGTGATCACGATCATGATAAAATGTTGCACTTTACAGGCAACTTGTTACAACAAATTATTATAAAATTTCTTGTAAAATAGGGAAGCGAAGAGGGAAAAAATAGAAGTTTCTTTTTTTTTTTTTTTTTTTTTTTTTTTTTTAAAGCTATATATATCGCTTGGTCCATAATAAATTGTAGAAAAATTTTATGCATTCCATTAAAGAACATAATGTAAGGTCATGTATATATATATATATTCGTTTTATAACTAATTCGATATCGCATAAAAAGTATTGTGAAGTTTTTGGGGATTTTATAAAAGCTAGCGATATTTTCTCATGTCCCGTCATCATCCCGTTCTAATCCCGTTATATTCAAAAAGACATAGATCAAATCAAATGATCTCGGAAGTTTACGTAATGAAGATCGCATTCTTCGGAGATGTGTGTCCCTCTGTACTACCTTCTATTCAAAAATTAACTTCAAGAAGTTGAAAACGACCAAATTTGTAATAATTAAAAAAATAAAAAAAAAACCTCATTTTCAAAAAAATTTCATCAAGGTCATAGGAAGCTAGAATATTTATCGAATACATCACTTAAAAGTGCAAGGTTAAAAATTATTGAATCCGCCCTGTGATCCGTCTACCGACCTCATCGTAACCATCGATGATCGATGATCGTAACGACAACCCTCTCTCTTGCTCAAGGCGAAGACGGAAGACAGTATAGTTCATGGTATGGTTGTATGTACGCAAAACTACTAACGTCTTCTACTAAAACAATTTATAAGTGAACAGCTGCAGTATGTATTTTTGATAACCGACATATATAGGTGAAATTAATAAAGTAGTGCGAAGAAGTATCAATATACACAACGGTTCAACCCGAGCACTTTGACCATTCCCTGTATAAAAAAACAATAATAATTTTCGATTCAGTTAGTCAAAAATTCATTCATTACTTTTGTTGCTTGATTTGAACAAACTTGTTGCCGAAGCCCACCAAACACTTTTAATACCTTACGATGATGCTGCTCCCGTACTATATCAATCCCCGGCTTTGATTAACAAAAGAACTTGCTTTGCATAGAAATGCATAGAAAACATTTTACCGGACTAGTTATCTGTGTATGTCATTGTCCGTCGAAATTTCACTTACTTTAAATGATAGTTTGCCCACGTTTGATAGTATTCACGTTTCAAAGAACTATAGCCAGTCCATGCATTATTGGTTTTCATCCATGGCGGTGGACTCCAAGCTGCAGCCATAATTCTTATATTATCGATTAAAGCCACTTGTTTCAAGCGCTCGATTTGTTGAATTTTCATAAGATCTCTCTCATCCAAACGTGTAAAATTTGTAAGTTCTTTGTCATATTCTGGTAATTCATTATATGCCCAAGGACTTAAATCAAAATCGCAACCACCAATAGATAAACGTAACATATTGTATTGAATCCCGTCTTTGTGAAAATATGTTCTATGGTAAAAAAACAAAAAAACCAAAAAAAAAATATATTTAATGTTTCGTTTAGCTTTTATTAGAAGAGCATAATAATTGAATTACTTATATATTTGATCTTGTAAGTGTGGCTCTAATTTCTCTAATATGTATGATACAGATCCCGTAAATGCGCCTCCGAACCCTTCAATTTTTTGATACGTTTCTGTTCGATTTACGTTAACTGCTATTGGCGACGTGGGATTACGGGCGAAGAAAAAATCTTAAAAAGAGAAGAAAAATTCAAATTTCGGGAAAAGACTTCAAGTTTAGCTTGCACCCTTAACGCTCGAAATACCAGCACTGATTATATCATAAAGCAATAAAAAGGGGAGGGTGGGAATAAAGATCGTGCTTTTGTAGTTTTTCTAAGAATTAAGTAATTAGTTAGATGTAAGAGATAGGATGAAAAGAAGTGAAATAACAATGGAAAAAAAGATTAACATATTAGGTGTTCGAAGTCATTTAATATTAAATGTTTAATTTAATTACTTTCTTACTCAATAAATGGTTTTTTGGTTTTTTTAAATATAATTTATTTTTTTTATAATATATTTTATGAATTAAAATGTGTTAGCACGAAATGAGATTCGCAAGTGAAGTCTAACAAGAAATATTTTCAATTGCTTTTTTAGATCCGGAACCAATCTGCCTGGGATATCTTTTTTTACACGAATTCTCTTCTACCGTGTAAAAAAAGACTTAGATGTATCTGCCAGAAAAGAGAATGCAAACCAAGCAATAAAAGACTTGAAAGAGGAATAATTTTAGTCCATCTCAACTTAACATCCAAAAAATAAGAAAAAAAAAAAGAAGAAAAGAAAGTGGAATAAGTAAAGACTTTGATGAGCGTATTATGCTTTGATATAAGTGCATTGAATGATCGTGTGTGACTTGGGCTCTTTTTGTTCGAAATGCAAAAATCTTATTAAGTTTAATATTAAGGTGCTAGCACACGTACATTGTTAAAAGTTATTAGCGTCGTTATCGAGAAACATTGGAATATTAATTAATAATAAATATAAATAAAAAAAAAAAAAAAATACTTTAAAAAAACATTTTACGAAAAAGATTGTAATTTAAATAAAAAAATTTTTAATTATCGACAACTTTAAACCCTCTATTTAAGGAATATATTAGAGAGGCAAGCATTTACTGATAAAATATTTTAAAAAATTTTACTTACTATCCTTATCGAATATTTGAAAAAATGTTTTCGACGTATCCATTGCAATGGTCATAGTTTTATAATCTTCATTTTTAAGGACATTTTCATCCAATTCCATATAATCTTTAATTTTGACTATCCCTTCATTATTGAATTCGCCATCTGTGACATGGAACCGTAAACCGCTCTAAAGAAAATTGAACAATATTGACTGATTACCTTTTGTTTTTTTTTTTCTTTTTTTTTTTTCAAGATAAATTGCAAACCTTGCTTGAAGTTACCGCAATAAAAGTGTTCGCATTTTTCAATTGTGGCTCTTCTAAGTAATCGCAATACTCAGCCGTACATTTGCATACATAACCGTATTTAGTTTTTAATAAATCACAGCTCGTATTAAGTGCAACTAAAATGTTTTGTTTCGTTACGTTTTTTAAATATAATTCGAATAAATTTTAAATGAATTAAAAAAAAAAAAAAAAACAAAAAACACTTACAAACATTTGATATAAGAATGTAAATTAACAATTCTTTAAATAAAGATTTCATTTTGATGCACTTCTTCTTCTTCTTTTCTTCTTCTTTTTTTTGAATATAATTTCTTTAATTGCACTTTCGCTTTTTCATGCTTTCTTTTATCAATTCACTTGAATATAGGTATTTATAAGCTCGTGAGAGTTGTTTGTTTAGTTGTTATCTATCATATTTAGTGACCATTGAAAGTATATTAATTTGTTTATGCCATATGTGACAATTGAAACTGGTCACTAAGTATGTATATATTCTTGATAAAAGCAAAACTTCTGAATCGATATTAATATGCAAAGCTTGCTACAGTTATGAAGAGTTTCATCGACACATGGTTTTTATATTCAATTGAAATTTTATAATCTATTCATGTCTCTTAGCCTACAAAAAACGAAAATAATGTAAATTTATTTTTAAAACATAGGAAAAATTTTAAACAACGTTAGAGCGGCCCGCGTGTTGTCTTTAATTATGCGGGCACCGATTTGCTCAATACACTTGTCCATAAAGCCACTCTCTCTAGAGTAGAGCTTTATATTGAGAAGGCCGACTAGGACTATTTCCAATAGCGTTGATCTTTCGGGGAAAACACATCGATGCATGGACGCAAAGATTGCCAGCTATAGATTGAACATAAGGATGCATGGACAGACAGATAGATAGATAAGCAGAATTACTTGCTGAATCGATCGGAGGTTGATTCTAAAGCGATTCATATAATAACAATTGAACCTGTCTTAAGTTCTTTTGGGTGTGGTATACCTATTTTTTGTACCTATGATCCGATAAAGCTGCCCTAAGTGATCTGAAATGTTATTTTAACCTAACAAAAGTGATAAAAAAAAATAAATAATAATTACAATCAAATTTATCCTCTTAGATAATGTAACTGGTCGCCGAAGCATATTTTTATACTTGGTACCTGTTACACTAACTATAAAAATATATGGACATCAATGTAAAATGGCTCCCAGTCCCTTATCAAATTGGACTTGGAAAAAATTGGTGAAAAGATCAGTGAAAAGAAGCCTCGAATATTAAGAGAAAATAAAGATGATTGACTTGCAAATATTCCAAATCCTTTTTAAGCTATCTACGACTAGTCTTTAACTTGGCTGCCTTTATCCTTATTTTCAATATTTTGATTGGAATTTTTTTGTGATATATTTGGCGTCCGTATTGATATTATCTTCTAATTCGCTTTTTCTCCTCTTCACTAAGATTTGCTATTGCCATCCTCCTCATCAAAAGCAAAAAAGTGAGATTCTAAATTTTTCACGTTCTCCTCTAGTAGAACATATTAAAGTCAATTGATTTCATTCAAGAGAAAGATTGTCCCATCAAAGCGTGACAATAGCAAAACAAAACTGCGAAGGAAAATATTAAATAAGCAAGAAATGATGTACGAATGTAAGTTAAACTTGAGAAAATTTCAAGGAATACTTTACAAAATCGAATTAATTTATGTATCTTGCTTCACTAATTTTTATTTAAACTTTAATTTTATTATTACTGTAATTTATTTAGACTAGAGAAATAAATTGTAAGCTTAAAAAAATAGGATCAGCACTAGCAACAAAGACTGTCGAGTCCTCTCTTTTTAAAACGTACATACGCACATACTTGATGGTTAGTTTAGTGCCTTTAATAAAGTTAAATATTTTATTGATATTATGTTCTCGAGGTATTTTCACGATGGGTAAGACGCTCCGGAAACGAGTCTTCGAATGTTGGAAACAGTTCGATATTCACGAATAATACGTTGAATCGTAAGATTTTGTCCATAACTGCAAGATGAAGAAGTAAATGTTTTCAACATTCGTTGATGTGTGTTACAATAGTGTGACCAAAGCAGATTCTTGGAAATGTTGCGATCTTGATTTTCTTGACAACGATTCGATATATAGATAAAAAATTTATTATTTCTTTGATATTCGGATTATGTGGATGATGTCACTGTTGATTTTTTTGTCGTTAATTTTCTTTTTGATATGTTTTCTAATATACTTTTCAAGGTTCAATTTTTCCATTGTTTAAAAAAAAATCTTATTATACGAAAATAACAAAATTTTCCTGTTTCTTCAATTCTTTTTATTTTAATGCATTACTTTAAACGCTATATACACATTGTCATATAGATGACAAAATTGTTTTAATTATTGAAAATTTATTTTCTCGCAATCACGTTTAATACATAAGAAGGAATGGAAGTCCAATAACAATTTGAAAAAAGTTCAAAAACAGAAAAAAGAACAATTAAACTATAAAAAAAAAACAATGCACAATATTTAATACTTTTTTTTTTTTTTGGAAACATTTCAATTAGAATCACTTCTATATCATAAGCGATATTTCTTCGAAGACTTGAAATATCTTAGAAATTAAATTAATTAAGAAAACGTATAGACATTTTCTGCTCAACATCGGTACGCTCAAGGGCTTTACAAAAATCTTCAAATGATATTTTGCCCTGACAACATAAATCGGCCTCTAAAATGGTACGTTCAGCTATACTAATCAATTGATCTTGACTGATATTCGCTCCGACCATCATATGAAGAATGCTTAATAATTCATCACGACTAATAACGCCATCATCGTCCAAATCGTACATTTTAAAGGCAACTATAAGAAACACAGAAATATTAAATTTTCAAAAGTTATCTCTTTTCTCATGTATATATATATATATATATAACTTACATTTCAATTTATCTTCACGACTGTTAAGTTTATTTTCTTTTTTATTATTAATTGGACGAAAATGTGCCAAAACGTTCATGAATTGCCGAAAATTTACACGATCCTCGGTGCTTTCTTCAAAAAATGCATGCACGATACGTTCACATAATGGATTAATCGCCAACTCTGGTATGCGTAAAAAATCATCACGTGATAGTGTACCGCAATCACCACGATCCAGTGAAGTAAAACGTGAATATAAACGTTCAATCTGATTGGGTGTAACTGATAGTAAAATTCAAAAGTTTTTAATATTGATTGACACAAACTGCTCTTATATAAGATATATATATTTTTTAAATTTTTTACAAATGTTTATGTCGTTGGCTGAGATGACGTTTTTGAGAAAATTTTACATAGAATCTGGATATGGCTTATGGATTAGTAGATTTACTGATCAATAATATGGATTCTAATCAGTCGACAGAATTGCTCATGTGTACAGCAAATTTTCGAAACATATTAAATACCATAGCTATTTCTGATTCAAAGCTAAAGTGAAAATCCTAGTGTCTTATGTACATCGGAAATTGTTGGGTACATACATATACTATATGTTATGTGATATGAATTTCGAATCATACTTTTATAGCCTACACAACTTGTGGTTAGAGTGGTTTATCCGGATGTATGCAACATTGAGAAAGACTTGAGATAGACGCCACCTCACCTTTTACTATATCAGCCCATTCAGAAACGCTTTCTTGACGTTGCTAGGGATGTGGTTCCAATTTTCTATAATATGTTTACAGCACAACTTCAAAATTTCCGCTTTTGAGCCTAAAATTTAGGAAAAAAGGGAAGACCCGAACTAGACACAACATTATGTTATTTAAAACTGTTGTTTTTTCTTTTTTAAAAAAAGTCTGTCATACACTGAGAGAAAAAATAAATAATAGTGCAAAGGTTTCAAAATTTTAAATTTCATAAAAAAGTCGAATAATGGAAAAAAAATCGAATGAAAATATATATATAAGACACAAGTCAAGTCAATATTTCTTCGTAGATCGTTTCCCCATATGCCAAAGCATGCTATTTCGCAATTTTCATTTACGTGAATGGACAATTATTTTGAGAAACTGAACTTTTGTCTATTCAAAATAATAGGCAGTTGTATAAGAAAGATTGTAAATGCAATGTTCTACGCATGAGCAATCGATTCCATTCTATGCGGATCATCCTGCCTGTGGAGGAGGTTTGAAGATTGTTGGATTTCCTAAACGTCCGAATTGATAGTTTAGATTAAGCTCATCCAATCATTTGCGCTAAAATACTCATCACTGGCAAGCATATTAAGTTGAAATTAGTTAAAGTGGGCTGAGGACAACTATGGATAGAATGAATAAAGTTTTTTTTAATTAATCGAACCGAACATAAACCAAATGAAAGAAAAAAAACCTGCATTAGGACACTAGACTTTACTGTTCACAGATTATCGGATATCACAACGAAAAGAATAGATAATTGGGGCACTGAACGGCGTTTCATGGTAAGAAAAAAAATTTCAGTTTTTAAGTGAAAAGGTAATCAATTTTTCGATTCCATTTTGGGGATCCATTAAAGAAGAAAAGTTGAAGTGCTATAAAAATTGAAAAGCCTCTCCGCCTTGTTACAATTCCGATGAAGCAAGCATAAAGTAAAACATGCGGCATTAAGACTGGCTACATATGTGAAGTTTGCACCCCGGAAGACCTCAACATTTTCTGTTATATTTTTATTCAGCGTAAACTATGAATTTGACAATGACTTTCAGCAAGCGCTTAATTAAATTAAGAAAAATGCATTAGAGATTCCTTGCCACCTCTGTAGGGAATCGAAGAAAGGCTACACCCGTCGTAAATTTCTTTTATACATCTAACAATTGTGTTGACATTTAAAATGATTTACAAATAATACGAGACAATTGTAAGATTCATTAAGATGACATCATATAGATATTATGATCAGACGCAAAAATAGCTTCAAACAAAGTTAGGTTTAATGCGAATAAAATTTGCAGTACTGATTTCACATCATCTTCACAGCGTTTCTTATGCGAAAATGTTAAAATTTTAGCATTGAAGCAAAAGGCTATTATTCTCCTTATTATTTATTCATAGCTTATCTGAAGCTATAAAATGCAATCTAGTAATGATATAAAGTTAAAACCATTAAAAAATCTAATCTACTGCATAAACAGCGCCCTTGCTTTAACCTTTAACATCCCAAGCAATTTCTAACCAACCGCGAATCGACCGCTAGCATTTTTATACAAATGTTGAGCAATTATGGCATAATTTTTATATATAATGGATAAATATAGTTAAAAATAAAATCTCTTCCTATCCTACATACACACAGATGCGGATGCAGGGATTTCTTCTGCTCGCCAACTAGCTCTTTTACTTATAGAAATATGCATTGGAGGCCAAAGATCAGCGTGAAGAACGTAATTAAGGCAGCAATGCCTTTATCCATGCCCTTGAATTCAAGAACGGCAGGTATTTTAGCATTTTTTGTATGGAATAAACTCGACTCAGATTCTTTCTTATGCTTAAGGAGTGAAGAAAATATTTAAAATAACATTCGCAAGTCTGGTCGGAGATAATGGACACTTTTGTCATCAATCTGTGACGAAAAATTGGTTTCAGCAAGATATATATATGTCTTTGAGAAAGATGATTTATTAAAAATCGGAATTCTTTGGGAAAAGAACCGTTATTAAATAAACCTTATAAGCTCTACAATTCATTGACAAATGGAGCAAAGCCTTAAAAATATGCCCTCAGAGTTAAATATTAAATTTAAAACAAAGCACTAGGTATGAAATTCAAGCCTATACTGAAGTCTACAACACAAGAACACATATAACATTTTAGAAATCTAACTGCTTTTCGTTGTCCGCTTGCATATATATATATATATATATATATATATATACACAGAACAAATAATTGCTGCATCTCCAGAGCAAACAAAAGCTATCACTTTCCAATTAAAAGAAAATTTATCGTGTTATTTTTCTGTATAACCTAATAAAATAATGTGATAAGCACTATATTCTTAACAAATGGAAAATTTATATTAACATTTTGAAGAAATTGTTTGAAAAATGTTTAATAAAAATTTTCGCAATACTTACAACCAGTTTCTTCTTGAATTTGCGCAATTTCCTCGGGACGCAGTAACAATGAAGATTTATTACCCATTTTTTTTTTTTGCAAAGTACTTTTGTAAACAAAAAACAAAGATGGAAAATACCCTCGAGAAAAACAATTGCAATGCAGTTAACTAAAATTAATGACGATCTGACGACCGCTAATTATCAGCTGTTTTCGACAAACTCAAGAAAAAATTTGCTAACAGAGTTGTTTCTATGTGGAGGAAACGGTTTGCATATGTTGTATGGAACATAATTTTGGATTTTGTTTTTCAAATTGAATTGGTTTTTATTGACATTTAAATAATAGTCAATAGTTGCATAAATATAAGAAAGGAATTATAATATTTATACAATTTTCGTATATTTTTCATTCATTAAAAACAATTTGCAATTTTATCTGCAATTCGGAAGAATTATACAATCAAAAAGCATCTATGCTCTCTGTGTGCGCCAATCAGCTGTTATGATAAAATTTCTATGCGCTCTGTGTTTACTAATCAGTTGTTACGATAAAATTTCTATGCCGTCTGTGTTTGCTAATCAGCTGTTATGATATTTCTGTCACAAAATAAGAAAGAAGAGATTAAAATTTCTATTTAACGTGCGGTTAAATTTGTAATTCGTTTTTATTTGAAAATGTCATTAAGAAATTTCTCATTCGGCTTTCTGCAGCAATGTCGAAGCAATGTTTTAAATGCTTTACTTATTAATAAATTGCATACAAGTAGCGTTTTGCGAAAAGTGGAAGATCGCAAGGAAATGCTGGCTTCGCTACCAGCCAAAGATGAAGGAACAGCTGGTGAAAAATCTATTGACATCGATACTCTAATGGGAAAGTAAGTTACTTGCAAAGATGTAAATTTTGATTGAGATTCACACTACAGTTGTTGCAAACAAAGTTCCAAATAAAAGAATTTAATTACTGGAGATGTAGACTCGTATATAAGAGATTTTTCTCCAAACATCTACAACATACCAAAAAAAAATTTTGATTTTCTTATTTCTTTTTTAATAGAAAAGAAAAATTCTTCCCCGATGCCAATACTCCTACTCAATTATTTAATGGTATGCCATTCAATGAATTACCAATTTGTAACATACGTGTATCTCCAAACAACACCATTATACTATTCACTGATTATAAAGGTTCGTAGGCGAAAATTGCGAGGATTAGCAACTAAATTTTACTAATTTTTTAGGTGTGCCTCGTATAATACGCTCCTGCGGAATTGAAGGCTTTAAAAACACTCGCAAAGGCACTAATATTGCTGCCCAAGCAACAGCCATTACAATTGGAGGTGTAAGTAAACTACTTTGAGTTTTCTTTATGGATAGTAATTAGGTTATTTATTTCCAGAAAGCTATTGAGTTAGGTTGGAAAACAATACGCGTTAAAGTTCGAGGTTTGGGACCGGGTAGAATGGTGAGTTGAAAAGGAAAGCGTATGATCGTATTTCTTATTTAATTTCTACGAAATTTCTTTCAGTCTGCTATTAAAGGCTTGCAAATGAGCGGTTTAAATATTGTATCTATAACTGATAATACTCCCGTGTCGTGGAATCCACCTCGACCGAGGAAGCAAAGGAGTTTGTAAAATAAATTAGAAAATATGACTTATAAAACTTGCAGGAACAAAGATTATAACGAAAATATATGAAAAAAAAGAAACTCTAAGCTAAAGAATGTTCTCGTCAATCGTTAAAAGAAGAATATATATTCTGGTTAATAGGTAGAACACAGTTTACTTAAGCCATTCGTTGAATTGACTTTGGACTTGCATATAATTTCAGAGTGAATGTGAATTTCTGAGTCGCCAGAGGATCAAGCTAAATTGCCACAGAATTTCAAGTTGATTACGTATGTAGAAGATATAGATTTGTGAATTAAAATTGGAGCAATTAATTGTAACTTTAACGTTAAACAGTCAGTATAATAAACAAATAAATTGCGCTCATATAAAGTAATGAACGAATTATCCAAAATTTAAGGAAAGGCAATGGAAATTTTCTTAGGCTTAAGTTATTCGCATTATTCCTGTGATGTACGAAAAGCAAAGAATTATACTTACCTTACTTTGCCGGTTTTTCACACTGCAAAGAAGCAAAATATAATAATAAGTGATTAATAATAAGAAAATAATCAATAGTCAATGGTTTTAAAATAACAATCCGAGATACAGTGTGATATTTATTCTCCTTATGTATTCTTTTAAATTATTCAGGAAAAAAGATATAAAAACACAATAATTATTCTCTTTTCTTAGCTAATGAAGAGGTACACATATTTTAAATATATTTAATGCTTTACCTTCTTTTATATCATTGACAGTCTTCTTTGTACTGCTTCATTTGATAACCACACGTTTACTCTTTCAATTTATTCGGCATATAACAAAAACGGAAAAACATTTAATAACTCTTTCCATAGCTAATAAAGCTATAATCAAAACTAATAAGTGAAAAGAGCAAAATTATTACACACTCACACAATAATATTTAGCACGAAACTCCGGATTTTATCTTAGTATTATTTTTTTTAATTTGCAAAATCGAATTTTTTATTTACGAGCGCTGGTAAAAGCGACATTTAAACATTGCTTTCCCGTAACTTTTTTTTCTTATGTAACACCCTTTCAAAGAGGTTATTTAATTTTTGTTTTGTTGTAATAATTTGTTTTTAAATATTTGAATTTTATTTATTATAATTATCTATTCATTTCCTCGAGAGAAATTTTTTAAGACTGCTTTAAATCAAAAACTTCGTCACTTCAATTCTAACTACAATTTCTTTCTCTTTGGCTAAGCATTTCTAAAACTTCCATTTTTTCTCTAGTTTTCCCAAAAAATTTCTCATAACATCTTTCTAATATTCTAATTATAGTTAAAATGCTCGGTAATAACATTACTTACTTTAATTTTTTGTTGCTTTCAGAGTTTTCATCGAACGGAATAAAAGCAAAGATCGAAATCAAAAATGAGGGGAACGTTCAATTTTCAAAATAAATATACTCAAGTAAGAGATTTAACAAACAAGAGTTAGCTGTAGTCAGTGAAGAAATAAACCAAATAAGAGAACGAACAGAGAAAAGTTATTGCTCATATACATTATACAAAACACGATTCAAATCCAAAACTAAGAAAAGGCAGACACCTGTTGTGTTGTGTTTGCCATCAAAGACAAAGTTTTCATTTTGCAAAAACAATTCTTCTATTTGCTAACACGAATCTTATTTGACTATAAATACTTCTGTTTAAAACAGCTATTTCTTTTACGAACCTTCTTCCTGCTAATATGTGACGTTTTGAAAATAGTTTTCGAATTTATTTTATATTTACTTATATATATTTATATTTATTTATATTTAAGGGGAGTTCATTTCGTTTATTTGAGTTTTCACGAAGCCTAACCCGTTATAACCGACGAATTTCTAAATCAACAGCGCATTAACAAATTTTATTTTCTTTGACTGTGAACACGTTTAATAACTTCTCTTTTTTATTAAATGGCCTTTTAACTAAAAAAATAATTTTTTGTATGCAGAGATTTTCAGAGGACTTAATCTTTAAATAATGTGCTTTTAATAGAACTTTCACGATTTCAGCGAATTTAACTCTTTTTTTTTTTTTGATGTCACACGAATTGCAAATTTACGAGTCGACCGCCATTGAACTGATTTTGTTTTTTTAGCGGAATGATGCCATCGAAATGAAATAACTTCTTTGAACGAAGAATATAACATAAACGAATCTCGGCGCAATACGAATAACAGCAAAGAATTTTTTTTTTTTTATTTCAACTATAACTATGAATGAATTTCCTTACTAACATTTTTTTTTATTTCATTTTTAAAATATTAAATCACTCTGTTTGCAACAATTTTTCGAAGCGCCCACAATTAGAACGAAGTTAGCCGAACATTTGTAAAGTTTGTATTTTTTTTTTTAAGCAAGGAATGTAACCACCCGCGTAATTTCTAACGAACTTAATCTTTCAACAATCCCGGCAAAACTAATGA